TATATATATATATATATAAGTAAAAAATAATCATCATTTTATAAAATAAAACTATATTTTAAATTTACTTTCTTAAAATACTATCATAGGTTATTCTGATGATTATTGATTGTTAGGTAATTTAATAGTAAAACTTGATAAATTTTCTTGGAGGGTCAAAATAGTTAACATTATAATGTATATATTTTTTAATTTATTAATAACACATTATATATATATATATGTATATATATATATTAAAATTGATAATTTATTTGTAAAAAAATATGCAAGTTACGTAAAGTTTATTATATAAAACAAAATTTATATAAGAAGCTGTAAGAACTAAAGAAATGATCATATTTTTGTCAAAACTGTAGCAAAATTTGTAAAATGAAAATACAAGAAAAATCATAAAATTCTTAAAATAAATTTGCATGAGAAAACCCATAACAAAAATTGGTAGGTTTAAGTTACATTGTTCAAATTTTCAAAATAAAGAAATTAAAGTTATAAAACAAAGAGTTTGGAATATGTAAAATATATAAAAAGATAATTAATTTGAAGTTAAAGTGCTACTTTATGTTTATTCAATAACTTAAAATTTAGAGAGAGAGAGAGAGAGAGAGAGAGAGAGAGAGAATTCTCTTAAAAAATGAAGTCCTCTATGAGGTTCATAATTTTCACACCCTCTAAAAGTTTATCTTTAGATGACTTTGTCCCTTCATATGCAAAGTCCACTACTAAGACCAAAAAATTATCAATCATCCTAAATACTCCTATAATCACCAATAATTCTTTTTCTGTATTAAAATCCTCATCTTCTAAAGCTCCTAAAAAGGTCCCAGAATTACCATCACTATTAGATTTTCATATAAAAGCCACATGTTAAAAACTAGACTCTAGAACCTAAATTAGAAAATCTCGAACTACCAAAAATCATTAAAAAGGTTATCCCCTTCATATTGGAGTTAGATACCTAAAAATCCAAGCCTGGAAACAAATAAGAGGTTTTACTAATTTATTTTAATTGACACTAGATCTGTAGATATCAGTTCTAAAATGAATAAAAGGGATCTCTCCATTGTTAATTATTCTAAATGTAAGATAATGAAGATGTTGACATTTTTAGATTGGAATCATCATCTTTTTATTGAAAAGGGTTTTTGGAGACCCTTCACTCCTTCCTCTTATAATTACTCTGATTATCAAGAAGTCTGGTATAAGATTCTTTTTGAAAAAAACTTTAGACATTCATGTTATACCAGTTTTAAAAATGAATTACATGTCAAATTATCCTTCTTAATTTCTGGATTGGTTCCTATTTGTAGGACCAATAAGAGCTATTTTACCACTTAAAATCGTAAAATATTATGATAATTTCAAGGTATTAACTCTAAATATGCTTTCCCACTTGAAACTTCTCAACTTTTGCTCAACCATGGGAGTAAGTTTGTTGTTTCAGCACATGTATGAGTTGCACAAACACTTGGAGGTCCCTTATCCACAAAACCTCTACCTAAAAGTAAGAGTTTTTTGGTGGAAAAATCTAATATAGAATTTCTTAAATCTAAATTCAAGTATTGGAAGACTAGATTGACTTTAAGTCCTTAAGTATCATTTAAGAAGATTGCAATGATAAATAAGAAGGCCCCTTTTAAATTTTCTTTGGAAGCCAATTCTAAAGAAGATTTTAAGAAAAATTTATTATAGACTATTTCTTCCTTGGATTCTGAAGATGAACAAGAAATAAAGGAAGCAAGTTGTGGAGACATTACTTGTTTGGGTCTAGATTTGAGGTTTTTAATGACTATAAAAGCCTTAAGTACTTGTTTGACCAAAAGGAATTGAATATGAGGCAGAGGAGATGGTTAGAGTTCCTTAAGGATTATCACTTTCAATTGAATTATCACCCTGGCAAGGCTAATGTTGTAGCTGATGCTTTGAGTAGAAAATCTTTGA